TTATGATAAAAATATATATTTATTACACTTTTATGACACATTTTGTGAAACTATTTTTTAATAAGTAAGAATTCACTTATACAAAAATTTTATACATTATTTATAAAATCTCAACTATTCCTTTTTCTATTTTTAATAATTAAAATTTTATTTACATTTACTAAAAATTATCTTTTTAAAAAAAAGTTATGATAAATTTTAAAAATTTAAAAATTAAAATTTTCTATAAATATAATATATAAAATTTTATGTAAGTGAATTTTTTATATTTAATTTAACATGATACAGAAAAGGTTAGAGAGATTAGCTGTTCCCAAGTCCGTTCCCGTGTCCAGCAGATTACTCTTCTATCGCAGTAAGGCGACTTGGCCAAAATAGGCAAGTTTGTATTGGCGAGTGCAAGTGGCCACTGTTCCTTAGCACTACTCTTCTAAAAGATTTAGATCTCCAGCCATACTCTCCATGTTAATGGGCACAATAGGGACCGGCGATAAGTTTTGATTTTGGTTATAAAAGGAAGCAATTTTTTTTTTTTTCATTTTTGTCCTCCACCGACTCCAGGCTATTAGTTCCTGTATTGTCATAAAATTCAGCAAAATCACCAAAGATTAATCAAACAAATCAAATCGCATTCTCATGTCTTTCATCCTTTTTCTTTTGTAAAGTTAGATCAGAAAAAAAAATTTAACAATTTAATTTCTATCGTACTTTGAAGAATTGTGGAAAACTAAATCAAATTAAATTTACTTATATTTCTAAGATAATCCATGCAAACAAACAACAATTGTTGGACCAAAAAACCTTAAATCCAGTGTAAATCACGAAAGAATCAAACCAAAGAGATGAAATATGAGTGGAGGATTTGGTTGGTCATGACCTGCTCCTTACTTTTGGTTTTCACCGAAACTCTAATACCTTTTTTTAGTACCCGATGCTATAACTTAATTTTTTATTCCGTATTTATTTTTAAATATTTTAGAAAATTTTTCATGTGTTTTAATGTGTTTAATTTTTGTGATAGGAGCTTTAAAAATTCTAAAGAAGTATAAAGATGAATATAAAAAAACATTAATGTGCCCAAAAAAATGTACAAAAAAAAAAAAACAATACAATCAGGACATTTGATTGATGAATCAAAATTTAAAAAAATTTTAATGGTTATCTAATCAAATAGGGAGAAAAACAAAATACATGTGATGAATGAAATTATCTTTAACTACTGCAATAAGTATTCCCCCATTTTTTTTCCTCTTCTCGATGACTAAAAAAAAAAACAGAGAGCTTGAAACACAAAAAATGGGGGGCAACCTGAGCATAGAGATTTTGTTCATTCATTTATATATATATATATATATATATATATATATTAGTGTGTATTAGTGTGTATTAATTTTAACTTTCAAAAAAATATAGAGTTGTAACTTTCATTTGAAAACTACAATTCCAATTCAAAATTTAAAAATCTATCATATTAAATATTGATACTTAAATTTAAAAACCAATTATATATTCTAATATAATCAATTTTTAAATTTAAATATCAATATTTAATAAAATAGATTTTTAAATTTTAAATTAAATTTTAACTAAATAAAATGACATAATTTGAGGCTGAATTTTCAATTTATTTTAGAACTCAGAATTGATATGCAGTTTTGCCTTATATATGTGGGAAATTAGAGATATCAAAGGACTGATCAAATCAAATCTTATTAATAAGAAACTGTAAATAAAATTAATAAGAAATCAATTCAATCAATATTAGATATATTAGATTATAGATTTTTTAAAAAGCTTAATGAGTATTTATTAAAAAAAAAAAATTTAAGTGCATTGGGTATATATTGACGTTTTTTTTTAAATTCCATGGATATTTATTTAAGAATTTTAAGATGAATTTTATTATTATAGTAGTTTTATATATGGGTAAGATTTTATTGTGAAAAAATATCACTTGATTAAGGAGACATATGAGAAGAGATACAAATATTAAATTAAGTTGGACAATGCTATAGAGACAATTTTTTTATATTAGTTTTTTATATAATTTTTACGTGTCATTAAATGAGTGGATGTATTCAATATTACGAGTCCCACATAAATAAAAAGAATCAATTATTTAAATGACATGTTAGATTATACCAAAAAATAGTATCAAAAATTATCCTAAAATCATTTCCTAATTAAGTTCGAATTAAAATGCATTGATGTTGAAAAAAAAATTGGATAACTGAAAGTGTTTAATAGAAAAGACATGTACAAAAGATAAGGTGTTAATACAAAAAATTAAGAAAAATATACTACGTGTCAGAGTAGAGGTAAGGAAGCAATGATAAGGAGAGAAATAATAACATCAAATGATTTATTAATTAGTTAAAGAGAAAGAATAGATAGAGATGATTAATAAATTTTCATAATTTATTAATTAATATGATAGCATGTTATAAAAATTTATCTTTATTTTTTAAAATTAACTTGACTAAATTTATATGCTTAATTTTTTTTTTATATCTACAATTCAAACTTTCTTTTTATGAATTAAAACATTTAAAATGACTAATTATCAACAAAATGTTTTTAAAATATATTTTTAATTAATTGTTATTACAAAATATTATTAATAAAAACATTAATAAAATACAGATGAATCGCGCGAAGCACGAATTGAAGTTTAGTTATGATTAAAACTTGTAAGATTGGTGGACAAAAAATAAACAACTTATAGGATAGTATACTTAAAACATTATGGGATTTTGAAAGTAGCCAAAACAGCAACACTAAGCCGATCCATTAAACTATCACAGTGACATGCATTATCCCCCTTCAGTTGTATTAGCTTTCCAAATTAATGTAATTTTTGACATGCCAAAACAAGAGAATGGCATGCTAGAGGACAAACATTGACAGGAGCTAAAGCTACCGCACTTGCTATTTTATTCCAAAACGCTACAGGATGGCATTGGCGTAGAATTGATGAAGTAGCGCATTCAATGTAAGAAATAAACAACGGGTATATAGAACAGAGAGAGTAGAGTTGCATGATCAGAATCACTGTCGCCATTTAAAGGCCTATGCAGAGCCATAGTGATCGATGGAGTGAGTGAGTGACTGACATTTCCAGCCCATCAAACGAATATTATAAAATGGAATGGAAAAGGTAGAAATCGCAAAAACTAATGTTAGGTCAGTCCTGTGCGTCTTTAATTTGTCTTTTTCATTTTCAGTCGCCAAACAGCCAGGATCCGTCCTTCCTTTGTATTTTAGCTACTACCACTACAAATTATTGGGATTTCATTCATTCATTCAGATATTTGCAATTAAGAGAGACACTGTGGTTTTGTTGCTAGCATGTTTGTCATATATCCGGATATGATGACTCACGAGATGCATGCTGCCTCATTTACTACTCTTTGGCAGTT